AAGGTCAAAATGTTAAGCAAACAACTAGAACTTATATTTGTATGGTACCATGTAAGCTTAAATTGTTTCTCATTATCTCCTCATTTCATAATATTGATAAAATTGGATAAGTAAATAATTAATGAATTGCTGAATTGTTGATTCATTGATTAGAGCATGGTGTTATAATAAGAAGGTCAAGGGTTCAGATTCTCCCTATTGGCCAACCACCAAAAAAAAAAAAAAAAAAAAATAAATTGTCTATTTAATTTTAAGGGGAGTGCCTGAGGAGTTCACTTTCAAAGTTTATAGTTTAGTTACCTCAGCATTTTTTATTGTATCTGATAGACCAACTTACTCATGATTTATTACTTAATCATTTCAAGCAACAGTATTTCTTGAAATATAAGTTGTTTTTGGTATTGGTCTTTTCACAATGAATTGTACTTATTCATGCTTATTCTTTTCGTGCTTTTTATTTTTATTTTTATTTATTTTTTTGTCCTTTTTGAGACCAGCCACACCGCGCTCAGCCAGTGAGCACTGTGAGCGCACCGGTCATCCCTATATAGGATCCGAACCGTGGCGGGAGCGCTGCTGCACTCCCAGCGCTGCACTCTCCCGAGTGCACCACGGGCTTGGCCCCTTTTTGTGCTTTTTAAAGAATCACACTGAAATTATTTTCTGTCATTGAGTAGGGGAAGATTTCACCTGCGCAGGCCATGGGGCATAACACTCTGTGGGCAAAGAAAGAGCAGAGTTTAGTCAACAGCATCAGTCACTGTACCTCCAGGTCATAGAGCAGGTGATTATGAGAAACACTCTTTGACTGAAGAGTCAGATATTAGAGACCAAAAGGAGAGCTTAATATTGGAAAAGCTTGGGATCAAGGTCCACGTCTCCATGCCATTACAGTCACCATAGGGTGACCCACCGTCCTGTTTTGCCCTGGAGTCATGGAATCTTCAGTGCTAAAACCAAGACACTCCCATGCAAACTGAGATGGTTGGTCACTCTGCCATCACTCAAGGTTGGGTTGGTGGCCTGGGTACAGGTTGCTTAACAGGTAGCACCATTTTATTAATTATTACAGTGATTGAGACATTCCAATTAAAAGTTCCATATGGGTAACATTGAATATTGAAATAGAGTTTCATTTCACTGTGATTTACCCAGGCTGTTTTGAGGAACTTTTTCTCAATTCTCTTTCAATCATTATTCCCCTTCTCTCTTCTTTCTATCAAGATTGTGCCTTATGAAGTTAACAACAGTCCAATCCCTAGTGCACTGTACTAATTCCCATTTGAAGCAATTATCACACCAAGACTCTCAGCAACTCAAAGAAATATTTCTGAAATAACCCCTTAATTAACCCCAGCAGAAATAAGAATAGAGAATACAAAGAACAAACAAACAAACAAACAAACTGAACTAGGTATAAGCTACTGATTACTTTGAAACACATGAAATTCTCTCTTCCACCAGAACCCATTCAAAATACCTAGGCCCAGTGCTAACGAAGAAATGTACTATCAACTTTACTTCTCTTAATTACTACAGAGCAATAAAAGATTTGAAACTGCATAGTTTCATCTATACATTGTATACACAATTGGTTGGGCAGCAAATAAAAAAGTGCTTTAAACTTTGAGAAATGCTACAAGCAGCAGCCAGAGATACAATTTTAGAAGTAGTTACTGAGTGCTATATTTATATTCATCAGCAAAGTCTCAAGTTTCTATTTTCTGGCCTAAAAAATTAAGAAAACATTTTTTCTGTATCTTCAATTACCACCTGGCTATTTTTCCTTTGTATCCTTTTTCTGCTCTGCGTTGCTAGACCTGACCCCTTTCCCTGTGTGAGCTTCTGCTCCTGATGTATGCTTTTTTTTTTTTTTTTGTCTTTTTCCGTGTCCGGCAACGGATCGCAACCCTCAGTGTCGCCCCCGTACCGGACCGGGACCGGCAACGGGATCGCAGCCCTCGGGGTCGCTCCCGTGCCTCGCTCAGCCAGTGAGCGGGAACCGGTCTGTATGTGGGATCGGGGCGGGAGCACCGCCGCACTTCCCAAGCGGCGCACTATAGCAGTGCGCCACCGGGCCGGCCCCCTGATGTATGCTTTTTACCATTACCTGATTTTTGACTTAGGTGAACTTACAGTCTAAGGTAAAACTGTGAGCCAGCAGGGTTTGTTTTCTCCATCTCCTCCTTCTTTCCCTCCATTCTTCCTCCAGCTCTGCAAATAACTAAATATCCCAGATTTTGTTCTCTGCTCATTAACAACACTACACCCTCTTGACTTGGGATCACAGCTAAGAAAATTCTGGGAAAATTTGGGGTGGACAGTAAATTCCAGTTAATTCAGACTTCATTAACTTATGACATGACAAATGAATAACACTTTTAGTCAAAATGTACATTTTATTCAATGATAAAATAGGTTTGCTGAGCCAAATAATAGGTGAATAAAAATATCCATCCTACTTTACATATAATGTAAAACTTTATGTATAACATAATATATACATTATCATATATTTAGTATATAACTTCTTACAAGTTAGAAAAGATAGTTTTATAAAGCACTGGCACAGCTTATCTTTATTAGCAAACTTATAACATCTGGTTGATGTTTAGAAAATGAGGTTACATTTTCATGCAGTATTTGGGTGCCATGGTTTTCATTACATCAGGCTTATCATGTTTTGCAGTTTTACTAAATATGATTTTCTGGACCACTGGTGAAAAGAGAACAAAATTGTCACGTGCACATAAACATTTAAGAAACACTATTACTAAAAAAGTATGATACTTTCATTGATTCTTTTATTTTAACCTATTTAGTGCCTACAGGTTTATGGAATCAATCCAAGAGAAAGCTAGAAACTCAATAAAACTATTAGCAAATAATGCTAGGCAATCACAAAGATAATAGATCATGGTGTTTAGAGAATCAATTTGTTTTCAGTAAGAAATTAGCCTGATTTCATACCACCAATTGGCAATTTGATAACATTACCCTAAATTATTGTTTAAAAAGCAGTACTGTAAATTAAACGACAAATTTTCATTTGACCTGTCATGAAAACATTTTTATTATAACAAATTTATCTTCATTGGTGGGGTGTTAGGAGAGGTGAAAATAATCAACAACAAAGTCAATTTAAAAAGAGTATTATTTGGCTTTAGACATTGTACCAATACATGGAGATTTCAGTCGGATTTTCTCCAAGAAATTGGAAATAAGGGAAATAAGACTGTCCTCTGAGAGTTGAACGTTAAGATCACGTACAGTGGGTAAGAGCAGAAATAAGCAAAGTCATCATTAAAACACAAACTAGCCTGACCTAACTGTAATTTTATTTTTATTGAAAGAATATTGCTAAGAGGTTTGAGTAGCCATGGAAACAGAGAAGGAAACACGTACAGGGACACTTCGGGGTCAGCGGCCAGCCACGTGCTGTCAAAGAAGGAAGCCCAAATCAACAGTGCAGCAGGATGTCCCTACAAAACTGGAGATCAATGAAGAAAATTGCAACCATTGGAAACCGAGTATTCTATCTTTCGGACAAAATCATCTGAGGAGATAAATGAATCAAGAAATGTCTATACATAGACTTCCTTGTCCTCTTGGAATGTATCCTCATCCTTTAGGAAAAATATAATTTTTAAAAGATAATATGAACCTTTCCATGAACTTTTTGAAGTACGCTTGTATATATAACTCCACTGGTTCTGAATCTGTGCTCATCAAGCAACCTTCTTATAATGCCTTTGGTTTCCTGAGCAGATTGGGCTAGAGAAAAAATGCACTAGTTTTGCAATTCTAAGTACTAGGGTGTATAAATTATAGCTGTCAGAAATTAATAAATTTTCTGCTTGTATATGTCAGTCTCATGGCCTGGGTTAATATAAGCTCATCTGATTACTAGAGGTCTTCTACATTGCTCAAAAAGGTATTTCTGAGACCAGGACGCTCCTGACCAGATTCTAGAGGGTTGTAGGAAATTCACCAAAGAAGTGCTTTCCTTTCCTCTTGGGGACAGCCAGCAGGCCTTCCCTGACAATGACCCTGTATTAATCAGTCACGCATTTTCATTTCAAATGATCACCGGTATCAATGGGGAAGTGTGTGCCTGTGATTTACCTCTTTTTATTATTTTATTTATTCCAACACTGCTAGAATGACAATTCCATGAACATAAACCCAACTACTGATGGCGAAGATGGCTCAGACCAGGATAAGTGTCAAGGAATCCTTGGACTTAAAATATACTATACATAGTTCATAAAATGGGCAAAAGTTACCATTTACTACACCTCCACCATATGTTCAGACACAATATTGTCATTATAGTCCCTCACTTCCAGATACCCTCTTCTCCCGACCTTACACTTGCCAGGTAAAACCCAGCGTGGGCGAATCTAAGTACCCATCTTCTCTGTAGATGTACCAAAGGGCTGAACACTGCTGGATGAATCATATATATAAACTGAATGTTTTATTTTACATCCATAATCACAAACTCCAAAAGTGCTCTCAGCATAACATGCCAATCTTACTCTATTCCTTACACTAGGTTTATTTTTTCACTCTTGGAGATAACTTTTAAATCTTCTCCAACTCCTGTACACCAAGCCCTCTCAGCTTGTCCCCAACTTCACTGAGAACATACTGCCAAACTGTTGGTTGAACCAATTTATACATCCATCCAGCAGATACAAAAGCGCTTATTTCACCGAGGCATATCAACTGGTAATCGTTACCCATTCAAGAGTTCCTGGAGAGGTTCCAGGTTAAAGGTTTGCTCGCAGCATTAACTCTGACTGCAGGAACTCCCTCCGTCCAGCAGGAGACACCATTGCCCTCCACCGGGGCAGTGCTGCCACGGAGGCTTCACGTGATCCGGCCGTCTCTGAGCCGGAGGGCGGTCTTGCGCAGATTTGCCTTACGTACGCTGCGTCATGACGTAGTACGTAGGGGCTGGCTAGCCGCCATCTTGCTTCTTTTTCTCGCTCGCTGTCTCCCTCTCGGGAAGCTGCGAAAGTGCTCTGGCGGTTCGTCCATCTGCAGCTTCGGCTTTCCCAGTCCGGTGGCCCTTCCGGCCAGCCCTCTCATCCCAGCTTCCCCTCCCCCTTTTCTTGATCAGAGCTCGGCGGAGACCTTCGAAGTGCGCAGACTTGACACTCACCCTGGCGGGTAAGGAAAGCGAGCGCGTCGGGGCCGCGATCAAAGAGGGCCCCATCGGGAAGGGCCGGCGTGGGAGCGCACCCAGACCCTGGTGCCTGGAGACGGGGGTCGCGTGGAGCGAGCCCCGGATCCGACCATCTCCTTTCTCTTTGGTTACCATTATCTCTGTGTCTGGGGAAGTTGGTACCCGGCTCAGGGAGCGGGAAATGGGAGTGAGACCCGCCCCATGTGGTCTGCAGCGGGAGTTCCGCACCGGTCGGTCTCCCTCCCACCCAGTCCCCAGCTCAGGCCCTGCGGGATGATTACGCGTGTTGCCGGGTAAACGAAGGGAGTTTCCACTCCGCCAGACCGGCGGGCGCGCGATCTTTTTTCTAGTGGGGCGAGAAGCGTCCCCCAGACAACTCAAGGTCTCAGCCAGGGCCTTTACCGTCTACGTCTTCGCGACAGTGAGAAGTGGGGTTTGTAATGAGCGGTGTGGGGAGAATCCGGATTAAAGACCTGATTAGGTGAGAGAGGCTTTTCGGGGAATCAGGACCAACCCTACTTCCGCTAGGGAAGTGCTGCCCACCTCCAAAGGAGGTTTCGGGTAGTCTTTTCGCACTTAGGCCGCTCCATCCCGTAACGCGAGTGGGGGAATCAGGACCAACCCTACTTCCGCTAGGGAAGTGCTGCCCAACTCCAAAGGAGGTTTCGGGTAGTCTTTTCGCACTTAGGCCGCTCCATCCCGTAACGCGAGTGGGGAATCCCATCCGGGAGCTCACTGTCTTTGAGATAGTCTTAGTATTACTGGTGTTGTTGTTAAGGCCCCGCTTTAGTACTAAGAAAAGGGCATGGGGGCCAGTAAGGACATTGATGGAGTTATTCTTCCTTTGCACTGGAGGAGTGCGTCTAATTACTTTCAAAGAATATTCATTTGTTTTGACTTGATTTGAGATCTTCGAGGGTCTGACAGTCCTGTCGTTTGCTGGCTTCTGTAGCTACCCGGATTTCCGCATTGGCCGGTCTTCAGCCTAGGATCATAGATTCATACCTTGTTAGGGTACTAGCAATTGTACAGTAGGCTGCTCTGCTGTAAGATTTTCGTGGGAATGCACCAAAAGAATCGTAGGATTTTTGATTGTTAGTGCTTAACAGCTTTTCCTTCAAATAAAAATGATAGGGTGATATTAAATGTCCACCAGGTCTATTTCCAGATTTTTTTAAAAGTAGATTTAACCTTTCATATTCATAGTTAAGATGCTGCTTTGACTGGAGCCATTTTTAGGTGTGTGTCACAAATGCATTGCAACATCTTTTTTGGCTCAAATGCATTGATCCCCTAAGAAATTAGGAATAGCATATAGTTAAACAGTAATTTTCCCGTTTTCTGTAATGGAGTTTTCAGAATATAGGCTTTTTTTCTTTCTTTTTTTTTTTTTTTGAACTTTTATGTGTGGCTGTTCTCCCTCCACCATTATTTGACCTTTTACTGTGTACCAAGCATGGTAACAGGCCCTTTACCCACATTATCTTTTTCATTCCTACAACAAGCCTCTGAGGGAAGTGTTATCATCCACATTTTACAGATGAGGAAATGAAATCTGAGAGATTACAGTAGTTTGACCAAGGTCACATAGCAGTTGTTGATGGTACTGTATAAAATCAAACCAGTACTGTCTAACCCAAAGGGGATGCTCTGAGCCATCAAACTGCCTCCTTGTTCCTTGTAGTCTTGTAAACTGTAGTTACAAAAGGTACAGTACTGTAACATTGTTAACTGGTAGTTCTTTACCTTGGCTTCAGTATATGAACATTGTTGCATGCGAAGGTTAGAGTGTTGCAAGGTGTAAAAGATGGGTTATATCTACTTTGGGAGTGGCACAGAAGCTAATTTTTTGTGAGCTCTTTTCTGTTTAAAGGCCAATTGAGTGCTTAGAGATAATTTTAAACTCTGACTCTACAGTATCACATATAACTTTTAAATTTTTATGTCTGGTTTATGTTATTAGTAGAATATTCCCTTATCTGTAAAATGGGGGTAATAATAATAGCACCTTTCTCAAAGGCTTGATATGGGATTTAAAAAGATAATGTATGTAAAGGGCTTATTACTCTGCTCAGTATATAGTAAAAGGTCAACTAATAATGGAGAGAGAATGGTAGAATATTGGTAGAGAAAATACTCTCTTCTAAGCATTAAGTAATCTGTGTATTCTCAGAATGGTGTATATATTTCTTTGGATACTTAAGAAATAGTTTTTCTTTTCTTTCTCCTCCCCCCTTTACATTTACATACTGGATTTTGTTTCATAGAGATTCTTCATGCTCTTAGAGTAAATATCCCCGGGATGAGTATATTGCTCATAGCTGAAAATATAGAAGTTGTGGCTCCTTCTAGCTTCTTATCCCCGTCCCCACTCACCCTCCTTAATGATAAAATGTCTTTGAAGATTATATTATGCCTCCCTCTTACTCCAAGTGGTCTCCCCAACACTGCTTTAATTTGTAAGTCATGTAACTTGTGTTTTGGATGCTATTTATGTCATATTAGTGAAAGATATGGATTGATCATTGATAAAAGTGTTACATAAATTGTTACAGGGCTGTATTCTTATAGTGAAGGAGATCCAAAAGTTGTGTGACTGAATTATGACTAACATACTTTCATTACAGTAAGCAAGACTTGTCACTTTATGAATAAGGAAACACAATGAAAGCTTATCTCAGTCTATGTTAATTGTTGCTTAGAAGTGTGAGAGTTGATATGTTAGTTTTCTGAGTCAGGATATTTTAAATTCCTCAATAATACCATTGATGCATAAGTCAGAACATCTTTGTGGATAAAAGTATTCTATAGAGAGTGTAGCATTAGTACATTTTCTATTGTATGTTTTTCACCTAGAAAAGCTAAATATAAATCTGTCTTTTTGATGGTTACATTTCTAGTCCTCATTTTGCTGTAGATTAACAGAATGCCAGTCATGTTTCTGAGACTGCGACTGCATGTATTTGCTGGCAAATCCAATCAAACAAGGGCTATTACTTAGTTTCAACAGAAAACTTTAGTCTGGTTGGCAGTCATGGTTAACATATACCTAAAGAGTCTGAACATACGATAGCAATGAAGTTATTACTGTCTGTGTGATGTATTCATCCCCTTGTGGAGCACGTCTAGTCTTAAAAAACACTACTGGTTGTTACATATGCAGCATACAGTCTAGTAATTTTTCTATTTACTTGTCTGTGTTCTGGTATTATTCTGTTTTCCTTCATGAGACTGTTTCTATATCCTCATCACCTTGTATGGTGGTTGACATATACCTAGAGTTTATTATATATTACTGAATGAATGAGGGTTGGAAACAGCAAAAAACAGGCTCACAACCAAGGTTAACTGATGAATAGCCTATTGGAGCAAAAGAACATCATCATTTTTCCCCCTTTATTTGCCCATTAGATTAGTGTCACAAATAACCTTCAAAGAGTTCATGTCCCCATAATATATGTTGTGAGATTTATTTGCATCAGGTTTTCCATAAGTTTTAGCTTTATTTAACAAACGTTAATGATTCTTTTAATTTTGTAAGGCCCAGTGAACTGGAGAAGTATGGCTTTTGGTTCCCACTGCCAAGATGTTCACAATCTTAAGGATTAACATTAAAAGTTATCTTGAGGCCGGCCCGTGGCTCACTCAGAAGAGTGCGGTGCTGATAGCACCAGGGCCACAGGTTCAGATCCCATATAGGGATGGCCGGTTAGCTCACTGGCTGAGTGGTGCTGACAACACCAAGTCAAGGGTTAAGATCCCCTTACCGGTCATCTTTTTTAAAAAAAAATTATCTTGTATTCTTTAGATTTATGACAGAAGATAAAAACAAAGTTGTACAAGAACGTAAGGGAAATTTGGTGCAGAAAACACATATACAGAAAATTGTTTGTAGTACAGTTGGTTACAAGTGAAGGCAAGATAACTAAGAGACCAAGAATAATTGTAATTATTAATATTTGTTGGACATTTACTGTGCCAGGTTCTGAACTAAGAATATTGTGAATTATCTCTTTTAATTCATACTACAATAAGCCTAGGAAATGGATTATTTTATCCCCATTACACTATAAGAAAACTGAGATTTAAAGAGATTTATGTAATTAGTTTATGGTTATTTAGCTAGTAAGTGGTAGAAGTGGGATTTGAATCATTGACCTAGAGCCTGTGTGCTTAACTATGCAGTGGCCAGTGGTTACCAAACTTAGATCATTCACAGTTTTTGCTTTTTCTTCAGTACATTTCTTTAATTCAATTCACTGTCTTAAGTGAATTTAAAATAAAAAAATTACCTAATTATTTGGAGTTACTCCCCATCCCTGCCATGTGTTTTAAAATAAACATATAATTTTAAATAGTCCTTTGTGGACCACTTAAAATTATCTGTATACCACAAGTGTTATGTATTCTTTTGTATTTTGTAGTGGAACATAATTGCTATAAGAAATGAATGCTGAATAGGATCAAGCAACAGTTGCAGTTAATGAAGGCCGGAAGTAAAGAAAGTCTAGAATGGAACATTCATTAAACAGGAAATGGCAGTATTACAGGAATAGAAATATAGAGTATTAACTACATACTTGGGACAACCGTTTTCATGATGAACTGCAAAGGAGTAGGTTTATTTAGATGTAATGAGCTACCTAGGACAGTCTGGCAAGAGAAGAACAAGAACTGAATAAGTGTAGAAAGAAATAACTACAGAAATTGGGGCAGAAGAGAATAATCTAAAAGTAGGATTATTAGAACCACCAAATGTAGCAGAGTTCAGAAAAATATATGAGAAGTAGCCTTTGGATTTGGCTGAGAGATCCTTGGTGATCCTAAAGGAGTTTAGGTCAAGGAATAAGGGTGAAAGATTAAGCGGAGAGGGAATGAGTAGTGAGACCTCTTGATTTTTAGGTGTGTTGAATACTCAAAATGAACTCTGGACTAGGAGTTTAAAAACCTAGATTTAGCCCTTTTTTTCTCTTTGTGCCAGCTC